CAGCACTTTATATGTGAACTGATATAGAGTTCTCTCGCTGCCATATCACCTCTTCTGTCCAAATCTGGTTCTTTGTTCGACGTGGTTTTGCCCCTCGATACATAGATATCAAACAAACTACCAGGCCTGTTTTGGGCATCTCGTTCTGACTTGTAGCAAATAGATCCTTCCACGTGTATAGCAGTCGATTCGTGCACATCTTCTCATCAAGATTAGGAGAAGGAATGAAAGAAGAAGAGAATGGAAGGGACGAAACGATTGAGAAGGGGATTAGGAGAGGAAGAGTCGAACAGGGTGAGAGGTCTCTTTTTTTTTTTATATATATCTTTACTCGCATGCCACCCTGTAGGGTGAGAGGTCAATTGAAAGAGGTTGAAGAAGATAATAGAGAATGCCGAAATTCTATGGGAGGAGTGGATATACCAGAGAAGAAAAGATCGGCATAAGGAACGAATGTGAGAGATGCAACTGTGTCTGGAGAAGAAAGGGGGCGGTTCGTGTCGTTGCACAGACAGTTGAGCCTGGTGAGGAGGTGTTATCGAGGGGGTGAGCAGAGCATGCAGGGCCCAGGATGGGGAAGGCCCATTATTGAAGTGGCTTTATGAATGAGGAAGAGGACGCACTCGGGTGGAAAGAAAGAGAAGGGTTTCCCGATAAGAGAAGGCCTCAAGAGTTTCGGCGGGAGCTGGATTGATCCAATCAAAAGATGGTTGATGAATGTGAAGATCGAATCGCACCTGAAGGTCCATTGCTTATCTCTTTTCACAGTACTTACCTTCAAAAATAAAATAAAAAATAAAAGGAAATTCATGTACGAGGCCAACTTTAAAAATACAATTACAAGAAGAAGCACAGCAGACACAGGAAGAAGCAATGACCGACACCATTAACTCATGGACAAAGTATAATGAGCAACAAGAAGTCGACCAACGGCACAATAAAAATAAAAAAATAAAAAAAATAAAAAAAATAAAAATAAAAACATAAGCTAATCAATCAGTGTCATCAAAGACTGCATTGTCCCCCGACTCGTCAGTCAGGAATTCCTTCGTCGCAATATATTTTGGCGTCCTCAATTTAGCTGAATCGCTCCTGCGGCGATTCCTTGCCAAATGTATAATGGAGTCTAAACCAACCTGAACGCGTTCCTCCACTCGCCGTATACAAGCCTGGGGGGCACCAGATGGTGCCCGCCAGGTTGATGGCACCTTCCTATCACACCCAGATGTTAGGTAAACGGGACGAGTATAGTGTTCAGAGTCATTGGAATTTAGCGCTAAAAGGACTTCATGGCAAAGGAGACAGCTTTGTTTAGAGACCCCAATTTTGATATGAGGTGTATTAGTAAAGTTCTTGTCCACGAGTAGAGTTCGGATATGCATAGCTACACTGCATTCACAGTGGACTGACTCCTCGAGTGTAGATATGGAGGTATAAGGAGGCTCTACTTCTGTTAGAGATCTACAGTAATGTCGGAGTGTCGGAGGTGTCGGATATCAGAGAGGTCCGTGATAAAGGGTGGTAAGGGCCCGAGAGCAACCTCATGCTCTATGTATATAGGTGTATTACTTTGGCTACTCTCTCTACGAAGGAATAACAATCATCTCTTTCTACCCAAAGCTCAACAACTTCGGGCAATCCATTGAATGTGGGGAATTGAGCCCGGAGGGCTGAGCGGGTGATTGGAACCCCGAGATCTAGGAACCTGGATTTCAACCTCGTGTTGAGCAACCCTAAGTATAGCAATTGCCAACCACTGCCGCCAAGATTAACCAACCAAACAAGAAACAATACAGATCTTATCCCTCAAGGGTATATGCATCAGTCATTCACGAGAGTGATCATGATCGCGATTTGCATCACCCTATAACAAGGTAGAGTGTAAAGTTCATAATAGTATATATTTATTGAGTCTATACTGATTGAGTTTAGCAGAGCGTAGCTTTTGTAATACCATGAGCGTACTCCTGACATAAATGAGTCTAAATTCACCGTCTGAGCGAATTAAAGTTAAAGTTCGGTCAGAACCTTGATTTACTTCCCGTGGAACTCTTTTTGAACTCTTTCCTGATGCCTGAAAGAATTATGATGTTTGACTTTGTCTGTAGCATTTTGAAATGCCCATTTGATAGCACAGACATCTCGCCATAGCCCAATGGGCGGCATGCGAGTAATGATACAAAAAAAAAAAAAATAGCACAGACATATCACGGTGAAAACACTGTTGCCGAGGATTGGTAGAATATGACCATTGCCAGAAAATATCGTCATGACTTTTAAAGGAATAACACTAGTACTGACGGGAATAAAAGTCGGACATGGCAAGGAATGCAGCGCCGATATTGGATGACAGGTCATTAGCAAAAAAGAAAATAAATAAATAAATATGAAATAAAATCATTAGGAGGACAGGAACATCGAAGATTGAGGAAATATTACAAATCACTACGCTATATGATGAACAAAACAGTGTCAACACCATTAGACTTATCACTCATGCAATACCAATTCCCATGACCTTTCTTCACTGCAATATCCTAGCCCGTACAACTCCAAAAGACCCAGCATATCCACCCGACCAATTCGAATAAATGTTACCTCCAAGTCGACTAATGATCTCAGTTTAAAATCTGTATGCACCGGCAGGATTATAGGGATCATTCATGGTGCGGGGGGGGGTTCACTGGCAGCGGTCGACCTGGAAAACCTCTTCTCACCATGAGGGTGGAGACGCGACTCTTCGCGGTACTTCTGAGCCACCCACGCCTGGAGGAGCATAGTGAAGAAGAACAGGATCCTATAGAAGTTCAGTAGGGATGTGCATGACCAAGCAGGGTAAAGATGCGTACAATTGGATAATGATTAATGCAGCCAACAACTTCACCAACCCATTATTCCTGGACCGATGCGGACTCATCCCCGCACTTAACCTCCCCGCCGTCAATTTTTGCCATAGCAGATTCCTGTTCCCGTTGACATGATAATCAAACCTATTCAACCCCGCGCTCGTCAAGTACCCCACCCATAAACAAAAGTCGAGGAACGCCGACAAAAGTTGCATCGGATAGTTTATGAAATATAGAGCCACAATCGAGAACGACGTAAATATAATTGCTAAAATGGAAAATATGAGGGGAACGACGACCTCCCGAGGTCCGTGGGAACCAAAATCCCGAAATTGGTCAACCATGTAGGCAGTAATCGCCATAATGATCACGGCAAATGACCATTGTAGAAAGCGGGTTAGCCAAATGGTAGTTTTTGCAAACGTTGCAACCATTGTGAAGCAGCAATATTCGTATCGGTATCTCTATTGGCTGTTGACAAGTGCGGCGGTATGCTTTCGATGCAAATTTTTGAGAATAGGTGTGGAGAAGCCTTTGTATACCAGAAGAATGGGCAGTCCCGAACAGAGGTTGGTATTGCAATCACCAGCAAGTTGCATCTTCGCTAGGTGATGTGGGAGCTTTCCAGTTTATATCACCACTATAAAAAGCCCGATACCACAACTATATGTCATAGCACTTAACGCAAATAGTTGTCCTACATTGCTCAACCTTATTTCCGGGCCAAATGATCTCAAGCCGTTTGTTACCTCAACGTCGACCATCAGGCCAGCAACGTGGCTCACCAAATCGGCAAAGACGAGCCACTAGACGCTACTTTCCCAAAGAAATGTGGTGCGATTTGTCGACAAAGATCACCAAGGGCGTGCGAACTTAACGGCTCAACGCCATGGCGTATTCTGATTAGTACCGGAATTTGTAATCTATGAGATCATAATCACGAAACTATTTTAACGAGGCCGCGGTGCGCACCACACTTAAATGGATTGCGGGGAAGTACAACCCACGAGAGGGCACTAATGAAAACGGACGCCGATTCGGCGTTTACCTGCTAGCTCTGATATAGTTTAGTTGACACTAGTTTGAGTGCTTGCATTGACCGATCAACAAGTGGTTGCTTGTGTAATAACTTCATCTCTATGAACTTCCTGGCATCTTAATTAATGTGGAATTTCATTTCTTGAGATATCGTGCTCTATTTGCGTGGTCTTGCCAGGGTAACCAATGACGTCAAGGGAAATTTTTCAGAAATAGTTTGAAATTTTTAGGCTCATGCCAAGCCTCAGAATTCCAGCGTTTGGAATACGTTTAGCCTGTATGGTATTACTTACCATTGGCAAAAAAAGCCGACCAGTAGTCACTCAAGATCCTGCGTTGTGTTTCCTCCCACATTAAAACAAGTCATGCGGGTACTCGAGTACTCAAACACATGTATATATAGGCTCTTGCAAAGCATTGATATCTCCAGCCTGGTTACGGTAGCATCGTACCCAGACTATGATTGCGCTACCTTTCGCAACAACAGCTGATACAGGACGTCTCCGCAAATTATAAAAAATTAGCACAAGACAGAAAGCATCGACTATGTAATTCAGTCCCGGCGCTAGATCGCATGGTTAAAATCGATTCCAAAGGCCCGATATCGTCATGTGCATGTCGTGCCTTAGTAACCTTCATCATTCAGAATTAACACAAGGTCCCACCCATAGCTAGATGCGCTAGATAACTGTGCACTATCTGAATATAGAGGAAATGTCTATGCTGCTGCTCTATTCTCAGTTCCTGGATCTGTGCTAGGGGACTTGTGTGCAACGGCATTTAGGTTCCAGAAATGCATCTGGTTCAAGGCATGCGGGCGAATATATGGGTATAATTACATCACCACACAATTGCACCTTGATAGTGGTGCCTTATCACAAACTGGTTTTGGGAATCACCAGGTCCCAATGGTTCTGGTGCCAAGGGCAATGACCCCTGTGCAGCTACCTGGCGCTGTCGCTGAGGGAGGCGTTACAGCACCGAAAGATATCTGAAGCCGTACACCACATCTGACGAAATTACAGGTCACCACCATATGCATGAAAACGCCGGTCGCAAAAACCACCAACAGTTCAATCATTGGCAAAAAGCTGGAAGGCAAAAAACTAGTGTTTACGGTCCTAGGAAGGCTCGAACTTCCGACCTCCCGGTGCCTTATTGCCTTGTCAGATGACAACACTATAACAGCCGGACGCGCTAACCAATTGCGCCATAAGACCTATGATTGGGTGGCAGGGATAAAGTTTTACTATATCAATTACATGCAGCCTATGTAGAGTAACTGATGCTTCAACAGACACCACCTTTTTTTTTTTTTTCTTTTTTGGGTCACGTAACCCCTACCGGTCCACGGCAGGAGCTCATATACCCTTGAGGCTCTACCTAGCTACACGCTCTACGCACACACCCAACATAACCTCCAGCCCCTCGGCTTCCCAGATCAAGGTCCTCCACCGGCTCACCGTCTATGCCCCCCTGCGTCCACCTATCTCCTCTCAGTCCTCCCAGCATTGCCAGGTAACTTGCACCCCATCCTTGTCCTTTGTAAGGGATAAGAGCGGTTGCCGACTTGGCATACCGATCTCGGGTCCTAGGTACTAGCCACTTCGGCAATAGAGAAAGCGTGAATGAAAGAATGAACTGTTGTGGCCTGGAGTATATATCCTCTTCTCAAATGGGTTGCATGGTGAGGAGCCATCGACAGGTCCAGGTATTTGTAAAAAAAAAAAAAAAAAACGAAAAAGGAAACAAACGCTAAAATGATTAAGTAAGACAGCATACACACATATACACTTTTGTATGAATTATCACCAGAACGATAACCTGAACCTGAGAGAAAACAAGAGAGAAGCATAAGATGCTCAACACACGACAAACGGTCGTCTTGTCTAACTCTTTGGCATGATCCTTATGTTAGCACGTGTCTGATCGCTTCGCCATGAGTCATATATAGTCGATCGCCTACTATGCTGATCCGTCGTTCGGTAGCTCGACTTGGCTTAGCCGTCATCACATCCTTCTCTGGGGCCACTCCAGCTCAGCGCACCTGAACACGACGTGCTCAGTCCTCCACTCATCACACCTGCTCACCATTGAAATTCCTCCTCCAGATGCTCCCATCGAGGATTGGCTGGATCTAAACCTTCGTAATTATTAGTAGCAATAATAATAATGCTGTTAGGATCTTGAGCAGGATTGTTGGGATTATTTAAGCCTTTACTAGTAGATAAGTTTTTGAATTCTTCTCAACCATTTTTCTTATTTTCACAGTCCGTAGCCAGGTGTAGTTGGTGAGGGCCGCCCTACCCCACCCCCACCGAATCTGGCTCGTTCATTCTCCTCTGTTCTCCTCCAGACTAAATGTTGATGCAGCCCACCCTCCGCAGCAGTCTATCATACTTCCTGCATTTGGCGCCCTTTTTCACCTTCTCATTCGTCTTCTCGTTGCCCTCTATCCCAACGTGCGCCTTGCCCCATGCGAGCTTCACGGGCCCGACATCGCTGATCCTCCACTGCATTTCTGCACCAGCTCCACCATGCATGCCAAATCCGCAGTCCTCGCCTTGCCGGCTCATCCTGCTCTCCTGACTGCATTGATTGCCAACTGAGAGTCTGCATGCAGCAGCACCTTCAATCTGCCATCAATGGCTTCAAGCGCACCCCTCATGCCCGAAACCTTGCTGTCCCACGCAGTAACTTCTCTTTTGAAAAAAAAAAAAACGCATACTACCCAATGGACTATGGCGAGAATAATGACCAAGGAGATAACAGCATAAAATCAAACAGACACAAACACAAGGTGGGGGACCCAGGATCCTCACTAGCGAAGTAGGTGGAGGTAAACAAAATGAAAGTAAAACACACTAACCAACAGCAACCAGAGTGATGTCAGTGGATCTCTCCGCATTACAGGCAGAAATGAAAACAAACCAGTGTCAAACATTGAGATACAGATACCCTATCTTATTCATACAAACACGAACGGTGCCAGCTTTGACCCAATCTGCCCTCACTGGTGCTTGAAGGTCCGCCTTGGTCTCTGTATGTACAACTGAACTCGTGTCCCTTAGTAAAGTTGACTTCTTTCTCAACCAACAAATCCCCACCATCTTTCCTATTTGCTTGTTCGCAGCCTGCGGCAGGTTTTGTGCGAACCCTGAAATTTGCTGGTAACTTAACTAGTAATCATGCTAAAACCGTGAAAGTGCGTGAGGTTTTGCAAGTTAGCCTGAAAACTCAGGAATTAGCTACTGGTATGCTACAAACGTTGTGATGTAGGTGTGGTGTACTAGTCACAGAATTGACAACTGGAGGTTGAGGGGCCTGTGGAGTGCACCACGACATCGTACTGGGATAGAATTCTCTTGAGTAGGTAGAGGAGTGCTTTGGCTCATTTATCACGTTTATTGGATGAAAATATCTTGAGAATTGCGTGTTGTGGGAATTTTACAGTCTTAAGGGTCAGCTTTCCGGATTTCCGAAGAGAAACTTTCAGGACTTGGCAATAATAAACACATTGTTCTAAGGCAACATATTTTTTTTCCGAATCCTGAAAAGTTCGGGGTTTGTACTGTACAACCTCTCTAATTCCAGATGTTTCCTAACTTCTTTTTTAAGCCACCCCAAGTACCACAAGTGCCTGCCCATGCCTCTGGATGCTAGAGTTGGTGCTGGAGCCAGGCGAAGGTGTTGTAGGAAGGAGAGAGGAGGAGCCAGGTGAGAGAGCTGTAGGCTCTTACCTCGCCATAGCCCTTAGGGCGGCATGCGAGTACTGATATAAAAAAAAAGAGCTGTAGGCTTGGGAGGAGGGAAATGGTCAAGGGATCGGGCGGGGTGTAGGGGGGTGTTGTATCGATGGTCTAATCATGGCACCTCATGCGGATGGACTGTGCAACCGGCGGGTAGTTAAGCGAATGGATCGCGGTACCGGCGGTAGTTGTATTGTTTCTATCCTGCTCATATCCCTGTTTTTGGAAGATCGTCGGAAGGATATATATAAGGTGGCTGGTCCTGTACTTAGTTCCTGATCATTATCATTCATGGAATCGTCTATTCTTCTCCGCTCGAACGCCGGATTCTTGCCTGGAGGACATGATCCGATCCCGCCATCTTCCTCGCTGCTTGTTTGTCCAATTGTTTCTTCCTCGGCATTTGTTTTCGCTTTTCCGACGCTCGGGATGTATTGAGAGATTGTGTTTTGTACCTAGTTCCACTGAATGTAGCACTGTGACAGAGGTTGTTGGTTCCTGTAGGGGCTCCGGAGATGGTTAATGGGTTCCTCTGAATGTAGAACCGTGATGGAGGTTGTAAGTGGTGCTTCAGGCCGAACAAGCCCTCCTTCCCGATTGCATCCCCTCCCAACGTAATGATCAAGCTTGATCCTATCTTGTGCTTTCCTTCGCTTCCCACACTCTATCCAAGATTCTTCCCATTGCAATCTCAAATCCACATAATTCCTTCATAGCTTCAAACCGAATGTTCCCAATCTTTTTTTTTTTTTTTTTTTTTTTTGGTCACGTGACCCCGCATGCAGCTGTCCGCCATGGCAGGGCAATGTTCCAACCTGGCTGCTGGGTGCTGGAGGCGATTCGCCTTCTTTTTCCCTTTCGGCATTCTGATTGGCTCGATACCTGGTATTTAAGCCCGCCTATTGGCGCTTGGTGCACGGTTAATGTGTTGGCGATGGATGTCAGTGCTGAAAACTCCTCCATATTTCACCCTGAGGGGAAAACTTGAGGACTAGGTTGTGTTGGAATAAAACTTAGACCAAAGACTAGCTTGTGGGAGCGTTCCATCTATGCCAGTTTGGCAAGTCGGGGCGTTGTGGCTGCGGAGTTGCTTCCAATAGCTCGTCCTGTCGACGTGGTTTCCATGCCGCTTTGGTGCCACCTCACCAGGACCCTTCTGACTCTCCTGCTACCACCTGCCCTAAGCACCATCCACCTCCAACTCCTTCCTGACTGCGACTGCTATCTGTGAATATGGCAACCGAATTGCCCTTCCCCTCACTGATGGCCTTTCGTCACTTGACTGGGGCATCTTCTTTTCCCAGCGTGAGCTCAATGGCCTCAACCTCTGCCCCAATGTGGTTCTACATCTTGCCCTCAGGGGACTTTCGCCTCCTCGTCTACCTGGAGTGTGCTGACAATCCTTTGGCCTACTGATTCGAGGCCGTCTGCCTTCTCCATAGCGTGCCCTTGGCTAAACTCTCTCAAGTCCTTCAACTTTCCCAACTTCCGGGTCCGGGTCTGCAACCTCAACTCCGCTGAATCTCAGGCCATAGGTCTCCCATTCCTGCTTGTGAAATTGGACGGAGGGGCCACAATAGGTGGAGGGAGGATGTCAAGAGGCTTCAGGATCAGGCCCTAGTACAGGGTGGTCCAGGGAGCCGAGAATGTGAAAAGGAGTACAGAGGAATAGGCTCAGAGATGTGTGTATTCGATTCTAATGATCAATGAAGAACGGGGCTTCCAGAGCCCATATATATACAAAAACTCTATAACACGAAGTTGCATACAAAACCAGTGAACAGAACAGCTAAGTATTTGGACTGCCTAATATGGAATACTCAGTCCGGAGTGTTTGGGCCATCGCGGATGTTCGGAGTGCTTAGGCCATCGCGGATGTTCGGAGTGCTTAGGCCATCGCGGATGTTCGGAGTGCTTAGGCCATCGCGGATGTTCGGATGTTTTACACACTCGGACTGTTTCGCTCGGACTGTTTCGCTCGGACTGTTTCGCGTGTGTTCGGCTCATGGTTTCTAACAGAGAAGGTCGAGGCAATCACAGCCGTGCAACGTGTGGCCACGGTCCTGCACCAGAGCCAAGTGAGGTACACACTAAGGTCGATAAGGGCCACTGCTCCCACCATGCCTATGTTCGCCCTCCGGCAGGAGACTGGACTGATACCCCAACTGAAAGTTTCCTAACCCAGAAAGAGACCTTGCCCTGTTGGTCAGCTGGATGTGGGGTTACGTGATAATAAAAGAAAAAAAGAAAAAAAAAAAAAGCACAGAAACAGCTCCTGAGAGCTTTCTAGCTTTGTCGATGCGACTCCGCCAGTAGTGATCAAACTCGAGAATATTTTTGCAGATCACTCCCAGCCACTTACTACGCTCGACATCTGCCGACTTTCTTGTCTTATTCCCAATGGCTACTGTAACACTGCCTCCTTCGAGGCCTCCAGCAGCAGTCCGTGGGGCAACCTCTCTGATCGCCCC